TTTCTTTTCTCTGTCCATTCATTCATTCTTTCATTCATTCACTCACTCATTCATTCATTCATTCATGCGTGCATTTTTCGTTGTCTTGGTACCATTTAGCTGCTCATTTTCGCATCTCACATCTCCGTACTCGCCCGTTGCAGTGTAAAGTACAGTAAGCTTAAAGGGAAAATGTTCTCATTCTGTGACCCCCGCCAGTCAGCGATACTCGCATTAACGTGATGTGCATAAAGTTCACCTGCGATTGCGATCACGCTTAAATTGAAGTCAGGGAAAGCAATACGGTGTGCTCACTGAGGAATGCGTACATTTTATCTAGGACGTTTACCTACACATGTTGCGTCAGAGAATGCGTGTTGGCCTATACGTTCTTATACACTCTTATACGTTCTCTGAGCGTCTAGGTATTGACGCCTGATGTGATGGTGTAATTGGTACGCTCTTCGCTGTTGCACGTGAAAGACGAGAGATTGATTCCCGACTGGGGAAATTATTTCATCAAGCATTTCCGTCTGTCCGGTTGTAGTCTGTGTCCTACTAGACCCGGGTAGTGGTAGGTAGGCCCTGGCCGGCACGTACGTGTAAGCAGCCCGCCCCCTGAAAGTCTTTACTGTGCCGATTGGGCGTAAAACACTGACAACCATTCTCACACGTACAAACACAAACACACACATGCACACGCGCGCGCACGCACGCGCACACACACACACACACACACACACACACACACACACACACACACACTCGCAGGCACACAAGCAAACAAACTTGCGCGTACGCAGAGAAAAGAGAGGGGGGGGGTAAGGTGTTTTCTGTGGAAAGCAGCAACAAAGTTACTGAATTGTGTGTGTGCATGTTTTTGTATGTGTGTCTGTTCGGGTGTATGTGTGTGTTTGTGTGTGTATATGTATGAGTCCGTCTATGGGTCTGTCTGCCCTGTGGGTTTTTTGTGCACGCAGCAATTGTCATAGAGGGAAGAATCACAACTGTGAGAGAGAACTTGAGAATCGAACAAAAAGAATAGGAAAGTTCTAACCACAGTAGACACATCGCCGAGTGGGCTGTCAGCACCTGTCATTGATTGCAGAGCTAATAATACCTAACAGGTCTTTGCACCGACCTTCAAGCGTCATCGATACCGCCTTACGAGACATTGTCTTAACCCAACAGTTCGATTTTTCGCCGGATCGTCGTCGCTAGTGGTAGTGTACTACACACACTATAATATTATAGCGTTGTTCTCTCATATAGTTTGGTGCAAAAAAGACTAGGGATATAGAGAACGGGCTGGGAGATAGAGAGATCTCTTAGGTTCACGCAAGCACGCACGCACGCACGCACGCGCGCATTACGGCCGCTTGGCGAGCGAAGAAATCGATAGTACAGCGACGGGTAGCAGAGCAGGCGATACCCTCACTGCCGCCTCGCTCTTCATTCCCTCCCCTTGTCTAGAATCTGTTGGGATGTGAAAATTCTGACGTTCCAGGCTAAAGCGTGTATGGAACACCGGGTGGGCACTGCGCATTAAAACGTACAAGCTTCTAAATTACATTACTAAAGCACATTTTTATAGAGAATAGCTCGGTTATTAGTTTACTTCTCGTTTCATATTGATGCCCTATTTTTTTCCATAAATGTTTCTCTTGTATCCTATAGATTGTTTTTTTTTTTAGTGTTTTTTTTTTTTACGTTGAGACAAACTTCTTTTTTACCCAAACGAAGGTTATTAAATAACCTGCGATAATGCTGGCCTGTTGTTCTCAGTGTTTTCTGCTACTCTGAAGTTTGAGGATAAACGTGGAATTCGGAGGTCTCGACCTCTTAACTTTAACCTTTCAATGTTTACAAGGAGCGTTATATCTATACAATTTCGTACAATTTGTGTTTCTGTTTACGTTGTCGTGAACTGAGCTACACTACTGTCGGCAGGACCTTACATTATCCATCAATGATTCCGCACAATTTTTTGACGTTATTGAAAAGAGAACTCGGCCCTGAGCTGGGCCGCCGACGTTCTGACCG